ACAGGGTATCTTATAGTCCCAAACCAGGGAAATATAATTATTTTCAACTGGGGCGTTCTGAGTTGTTCCACCATGAGAAGAAGTCAGAAGGGAGGAGCAGAGCAGAAGTCAATAGGCGAAAACCCGATTCAAGTTTCGCCCCTAGGCAAAAGAATATTGCTTCTGCTTGATCGTGTGAGCACATAGTACATACATAAATTCGACATTTTGATATCCCTTGCCCCTTGCCCCCTGGCCATGTGCCAAAGTTCAACGTAATTGCGTTTAAAAGTGCGTGTACTTGAGATTTTTTTATATTTTTCCTTTATCCCAGAGTGTTACGCTTTTGTTGTCGGCTTTTCGCCGTTACAAATATGTTTTGAAAGCAAAGTCATGCTGGATCACAATAGCCAGGGGAACTCTATATTTATATGTAAGTATGAGCACAGACCTTTCTAATGCTTAAAAATTAGTTTTCTGAAGTGGCTTTTATTATTTCGTATGGATAGGGCAAATTGATATGCCTCAGTTGGTAATGAAGTGAGTGGAAAGATATTTTGAAAGAGTTTACATTGTGGGGGGCCTAAACTGAAAGAAAGAAAGATAAAGGAAACTGAAAGTAAATCAACAGGAACCAGTGTAGATACCCATATTCAATTTCACTACGTACTACTTCTATTTAATAATAACATAATTTTTTAAAATTACTCTAAAAACCAGATTGATGGCTGCAGTCGAGAGCCTTTACTCGTTACTAAGCTAATCAACTTAACTCTTTTTGTATGCCAAGAAATATCGACGATTTACTTTAAAAAAATTGTACACGAAAAAAGTATTGCGAATCGTGGTTTTTTTGGTTTCCCAAATTAAAGAAATAAAGGAAAATGTAAAAACAATTCTTACAACACTACAGCACCTCGAAAGTCTTCATGTTCGTAAAAATGGGTTGGACATCCACCTAAATCATACGCATAATCGCTTCTGTCTCTTAGCATATACTCGGTCATCTACATCATTATAATAAATCATTATAAATAATGATAATGATTGTTATGACTATCGGCATGTAGGTATTGATCAATAAACTCAATTTCAACGTCACTGGAACTCTGGAAATCATCAAAAAAGTAAGCTCCAGACAGACTTTAGCGTTTCGGGCTTTTGTGGGTCTTAACTGAAAAAAACTCTGCGTAAGGAACCCAACTTTATAGTGTTCCTTTTATAGTGTCCGAGATCTCAGCGTTTATATGGACGGTCGGACAAGGCTAGCTCGACTCGGCTAGTCATCTTTATAAAGAAAATATGTACAATGTATGTATGTATGGCGGCCATTGGATTGGAAATCTTGTTTTCTTGAATTCACAATGAATCACAAGAAGTATATCGACTTCCTAATTGAAAATTTGGATCAAAGCGCCACGAAACTGGGACTCGAAAGTGATTTTTGGATCCAACAGGACAGCGATCCTAAGCATTGTGCCCACAAAACAAAGCGTTGGCTGCTCTGTTATGTGTAAACCAGCTAAATTTGCAACCAAAATTAAAGGTCCCATTGCCAATAAGCTTTTGTCAGATATGCTGAAAACGTCATTGCGGAGGATTGGAATCAAATAAGGAAAGGGAAATTAGTGGAATCGATGCAACATGGGTTGAATGAATTTAAAAAAGGTAAAGGGTATCCGACTACGTATTAATTTTCTACTTCCTTTGCCCAAAATACACCTTTTTCTTATGATATATGCATGTTACTGATACTTTTTCTGATCAAAAGTGAGCCCATTTTGTAAATTTTTTTGTATGTTATCAAAAGTTTAATTGCTAGAACTTAATGAGTTATGTATATCAAATTAAATACAAATTTTAACAATTTCTTAAAACGTTTTTTAAACTGGAAAGTTTTGTAACCTGTTTGTACGCATACTTTTTCTGGAAAGTGTATTTTCCGACGAATAAAATGTACCCTTTGAGAAGTTTAGTCTTAGTTTTAAAATATAAAGCAAACTCCTATTAAAATGTCAAAGTTCTAAACCGATTGTGTTTAGGCACGAAACGACTTTTTTTCTGGGAATAAGGACCCTTGACACTTAAATTCTAAACATAAACTGATGGCAGTACAACCAATATGATTTACCATACCTGCGATTGTGAGACAACTCGACTCAGTTTTTTCAATCCGCCTTTCCAAGAATCACCCCTTTTAAACCCGCCTCCGCTCCCAATTACAAGCAATAATAATTTTAATTAAATGCACCAAAACAGTTGACCAAAACAAAGGCAACAAACAAAAAGACAAGCCATGGAAATGAATCCCGAAATGAGTTGCAAACAAATTACGCCGCAGAAATGAGCTCCAGCGGTGACAAATTACAAGGAAACAACCGAGCGACGATGAGAAATGACGACAGGCGGGCAGAGGAGCAACGGTAATCGCCAGACAGGGAAGGAGACAGGGAGCGGTGTGCGAGCAGGAAGGCAGCATACAACCAGTGGTGCCGACATAGCTGGTTTCCGGCCCAATCTAACTTCCAAGCAAAAAAGTCCTAGGCTAGCTAGACTTTCGAAAGTGTGACTAATCACTTACTACAGAGGAAACATTTACGGAAATGTCACGGGTGACTTTATACGTATTGTAGTTGTCACGGCTTACTTATGGAAGGATCGGAAATATCTCAGGGACTGTGTTTTATTTAGTTGCTTTTAGACCCTTACTCGCAGAGTATTGTATTCGGGAAAAAGTATGTAGAAAAACGCGTTTCCAACCCCGATCAAAAAATGTTAACTGAAATATATTGTTTCCGTCAGCACCTATCGATTGACTTACTCTAACGCCCACTTCAACTTCAAGAAATCGTAAATATCGAACGCTGATATTTCGGAAACTATCAAAGAGAAAATTTAGAATCCTTAGCTACGTACGCGGCGCAAGTTTGTTACGCGAAGCCCTCTCTGCCGCCCATGACGCCTAAATCTGTCTGCCTCCACCATTTCCATATACTGAAATCGCATGTAGGTGGCGCTCTACAATCTCGCTTTGCTGCTTGTATATATGTATTCATCACCCTTTTGCTCCCTTTAGCGGAGTAATGGCTGTCTGATAGACGAGGCACTCAAATGTATCGTTCTTCCTTGTTACTTGTTTTTCTCTAAATTAGCAAAACTTATATTTAAATAGTTATGTTTCATAACGAGGTTATTTTGTTATTATACCCATTACTCGTAGAGTAAAAGGGAATACTAGATTCGTCGGAAAGTATGTAACAGGCAAAAGGAAGCGTTTCCGACCCCATAAAGTATATATATTCTTGATTAGGATCACTATCCGAGTCAAACGTGGCCTGTCCGTCTGTCCGTATGAACGCTGAGAAATCAGAAACTATACAAGCTACAATACTGGGATTAGGCATGCAGATTCCTGAGATTCCTGCGAAGCGCAAGTTTGTTTCAGCAGAGTGCCACGCCCACAAACCACCCAAAACTGTGCCTTCTACAATTTTGATGCTAGAATAAAAATTTTAACTAAAATGTATTGTTCTCGTTATTACCTATCGATTGATCCAGAAGAAAAATTGCCACGCCCACTCTAACGCCTATAACGCTTAAATCTGTCTACCGCCGGTAGGTGGCGCATTTCAATCTCGCTTTGCTGCTTGAATATCTCCATATCCCTTTGGTTCCTTTAGCTGAGTAACGGGTATCTGATAGTCGAGGTACTCGACTATAGCGTTCTTCCATGTTTTTAAAGTAAGTTAATTCCGAACCCTCAAGTCAGACAGTGAAAAATTTAAATCTTTAAGATATTTTCATTTTATATACAAATATAAAATATAATCAAAAAGGGAAAAACGAATAATTTTTGCCGACATCAGATCATACTGCGACCACGTGATCATTGTTTTCCCCGCATATATACCATTTCAAATAAGGAGTTCGGCACACTTTGATTGCATAATTGAGCATTGTAAATTATAAATGTCGAAAAGGAACTGCAAAACCAGCTGTCTTCCGATTTCCGATTAAGGCCTCTTTGCACCTTTTGGCACGCGTTGTTCTGGGCCATTCAGGGCTCCATCCAACTGTTCTACTTCCGTAGCCTCTGAAATTACGGACCAATGCAATTTGTACTTGACCTATTGGTCGCCCCCGCTGATTTGGCCCGCATGCCGTGCTTTTCACATTTCCAGGTTCTCCACTTTGGGTTGCTCGGGTTTTACGCTCAGATTTACATCTGTTTGTATTTTCCTCCCAATTTGCGACCCCTGTCGATGGGCGGTTTGTTGTCTATTCATTTGTATTTGCGTTCAGCTATTATGTCCATTAGCAACATTTTTGTCGGGTTTTTGTTCCGATTTTCTACGTTCCAGCTTGCTTGTGGTAAGTCAATTAGAAGTTGGCAATCTTAAACCTATCTTTCAGCTAAAACAATCACAATCACGGCATAATTCAAATAGTTTTTGAATTCCTTAACTTATTAAAACCCAAGTAAGTTTCTATACATACGGTGATATGATATTAACAAGAACGCCAGCAATGGATTTTATTGATCAATACACACCCAAAACAATAGAAAACGATACAGTCGACGGCCTCGACTATCAGATACCCGTTACCCAACTTGCAAAAAAGCGCCACCTGTCGTTGACTCCTATCTGCTGTTTACGAGATTTCACTAGGTTTCACGTTACGTTGCGTTAGTGAAATCTCGTTAACAGCGCTGCTTAGTTGTTGTTGAATACTTTTGTGTGGAAGATGTTACGTTTGGATAACTTTTTATGATTGTTCATTAACTGTTTGCTATTGCAAAGCTAAAAATAAACGTCACGTGAACGTTACTATGTTAATAGTGGCTTAACTATAAAATGGTAAGCAAATCAAAAACAGATTCATATACAACTATTTTAAATAGTCAAGTTATATGTTTTATACTAACATAACTATCTGCATTGGTCAATTTGAAGAAAAAAAGTTTTGTGTAGATATTAAAATCATTCCGTTGTTGACATTTCAATCAAGTTAGGGTTTGAGCAAGATCTGATTATTACATATGAAGCCCAAATTATATTTCTCACAAAAGGGCACCGACAGTAAAAATGATTCAGAAGAACTACTGGATTCCCGCAAAGGCTTTTCGACCAGAAAGTGAGCTAGCCGAGAAAAATATCTGGCATAAAGGATTTAAGCCGACTTACGAGCAGGAGGAGCCCCAAATGGGTTTGATTTTATCCTGGCATTACGGAAGACAGTGGCTGGAAGAGCGTAGTGCCCATGGAAAAGAGACTAGGAAAAAGATCAAGACAGAAGCCAAATTCATTCCACCCGACTACAGCCGTTGGCTGGAGAAACGCCGATTAAATAAGACAAGACTACAGCTGCTGAAATCCTGATTTAGTTAATTCCTGTTTATTGATTCAAGAATTTTTAATCTTAATGTTTCAAGAATTTTTTATGCTCCACCTAGAAAATCTAAAAAAATGTCATTCTTACTGTTTAGCCTTTCGGGTTTTCTCTTTAAAATTGTAAACTTATTTTTTTAAATAAAAAAAGTCAATAACGTTACATTAAGAATAAATAGGAACTTAGCGTCGGTGTATGGAACCAGAACCAAGAACCTCAAGAATCCGCATGCCAAATCCCTTTCTAGCTCTTATAGTTTTTGAAACGGACACGGGCATTGTTCTTAAGATATACATATACTTTATTGGGTCGGAAATTAATTTTACCTGTTACCTAACCTTTCCGAAGAATCTAATATACCTTTTTACTCTACGATTAACAGGTATAATAAAGAAGCTATAATTATAAATTATCCGATTGATCCTAAGGGAGCACTTTGATCTGGTCCTGCAATTATTTATAAATTCTATTCAAAATTCTAAAATATTAAAAGTGCGATATTCCCAGAGTAGAAGATAATATGTCAAAACCAAAGTTATAATTTTCTTACAATTTTGTATACCCTTGCAGAGGGTATAATAACTTAAGTCAGAAGTTTCCGACCCAATAAAGTATATACATATGGTTTTGATCAGCATCACTAGACGAATCAATCTGGCCATGTCCGTCTGTCCATCTAGACTAACTAGTCTCTCAGTTTTAAAGCTAGTGGGACGAAACCTTTCCAAAAGTATTGTTTCTATTGCAGGTAGTATATAAGTGGGAATGAGCCGGATCGGACTACATCCCATAGGAATGATCAAAATACATTTGTTTAAATGTAAAAAAGTTATAACTTCATTTTTTTTGACATGAGTATAGAGCAGTAGAGAGAGTATGTGAGTAGTAGTTTCTCTTGGAAATATCATTCTCTTAACATTTCAGAATTTTTAATAAATTTTAAAACAAATCGGACAACTTTATCATATAGCTGCCATAGGAACGATCGGATAGTTAATGTCAAAATAACACATAGACCGTTATAATTCGTTTTGGGTATACATACACGGTAGTAAAGCTTTAGGTTTTCTAAAAATCTGAAAGCTCTGTACATACAATGCAACGACTCGCAAGGGTATAGAAACTTCGGCGTGCAGAGGAGAATGCATGGATTACATCGATTTTTGCCAAGATTGCACATTTTTTTTGCTTTCAACTTTTTAATAAATGGTGCGACATGAATAATTTTTTGGATGTAGATGGGTATTGATAGTCAAAACAAAATTCCATTTACTTTTTTTTAAAACTTCAATAATTTAAGGCTAGACAGTTTTGGCGTTATGGGCGTTTGTGGGCGCTAGAGAACCTCAAGAATCTGCATGCCAAATCCCAACTTTCTAGCTTTTATAGTTTCCGAGCAAATAAAAAAAACGGTTGGTTCTTAAAAAATAAGCAATTCTAGAACGTATATCTTCGGTTTTACTTATCGTATCAACTTAATTTTGTTGCATTTTACTTGTTTTATAAAGGTTTACATTTTTATTTTAATCAATTTTGTATCGCAAGATATTGAATTAAACGCAACAAGAACTTGTTTAATTCGTTAGATGCATGGCACATCACGAAATATGTATGCGTACCAAAGTATGTAGTAAAAGTGACCGATATGCGCGAATCTATCTACATATCTGTCAAATGAGAGTGAACGATATGCACTTTTTAATGAATGGTCGAAGTAGGCCTAGACACGTCAGCCCCAAAACTATTGTTCCTGCCAGACACTACCGACACAACAACAAGTGAGGACGCAAGAAAACAATTCCACACGAAGATGATTTCGAAAGTCAAAACCTGGAGCCGTTCACCGCTGATTCCGGCCAGAGATCACGGGTCGGCGATCCTTCCGCCAGCAGATCGGCCGGAACCCATTCCGGAACCATGCGAGGAGAAGCCTGTGATGGGCTGGCTCCTCGGCTGGGAGTACGGAAGGAAGTGGCTGGAGAGGCGCGAGGACATCCAGAAGCACCGGAACATGGTCAGCAAGTTCGGCAGGATTCCGCCAGATTTCGGCTGGTGGCTCAACCAGCGCAGACCGCTCTTCGTGCGCCAACAGCGATACCGGACTAAGGCCGGCCCTCGACCCCGGAAGCAGATCACAGCCTTCGAGGTATCCAAGCAGAGGCGTGAGGCACAGAAGCGCAAACTCATGGAGAGTCAGGCGAAAGCCCAGTAGAATGGCAAAAGATACATTTCATTGTGTGGCCTGGACAACTTATCAAGCCATTATGTCAATTGAAGATAAAACTGGGACAAAATTTCGAAGCCGAGTTCGACACTGCAACAAATGTACAACAATGCAATTCGAAGTACCAAAACTCCGTTCAGATCATGTGTTAATAAATGCTTCAATAAATGTTGACACATTGTTACAATATTGTCCATTTTTAAGAACCATTTTTTTCAGTGTCAAAACATTGCCAAGCTTGGAAATCCAAACTTCGAGAAATATATACAGCTTTCATGTACGAAGAAAACACTATTTCAGTATGTTTTTAAAACCTTCCGGTCTACAATCAAGTACACTCAAAAAAAAAATCACCATAAATATTAGAAAATCGCCCGTGATTTCAAAACGCCATTGAATTAAGAAATATTTTCTTGATTATAGAAAAAATGCCTACAATTTAAGGAATTCGCCATAATTTATTTTTTTTTGTAGTGAAGAAGAGCAAGAACCGTATTTTTTTCTTAAACTAATGGCGAATTTTTCTTGATTTTTTTTCTTGAAATAATGGTAAATTCTTACTTAAATTTAGGAAAGAAATACCCATATTTTAAGAGAAAGTGACTTTTTTTATACATTTTGATGGTGGTCTAGCTAGTAAAGACGTCCGGTCAATAAACAATCGAACAAAAGTACCTGGTTCGAGCCCACGCCACGGAAAGTGTACCCTTTGTTTATTTATTTTTCTTTTTTTTTTAATTTATGTAATTTTTTTTATTTTTATTAGTTTCACTTTTCTATTTACCAAATTGTTTAAACGGTTGTTAAAAAGGTTTAGATTAGAATAAACGTAATTGGTATGCGTAAAGCTGGACCAAAAACACCTAGCCCTCTTTAGTCATTGTATGACAAGAAGCACGCGTGGCCGAATGGTTAAGACGTCTGGCTATGGTGTGAGCGGTTGCGGGTTCGAGTCCATTTGTTATATTTATTTATATGTTTATAAAAAGTATTTATATAAATTAAAAATTAAAACCAAAAAAAAAATCGCCCTTAAATCAAGAAATTCGCCTTTAAATCAAGAAAATCGCCTATGATTTTCATCCAACGGCGACTCACCTTTATTTTAAATAAATAATTTTCTTGAACTTATGGTTGCCATTTCTGGAAATAATGACAAATTTTTCTTAAATGTATGGTAAAAAACCTTAAAATTAAGGAAAAATTTATTAAAATAAGAAAAAAATATTTATAATGTAAGATTACATTACATTTTACACCTTATATTTGAGGAATTTGGTTGGTTTTGTATACCAATTTTGGATTTTAAAAGGATAAAACCGTTTCTAATTTTAATGGCAATTATTACATGGGAATACAGTCTGAAAGTTTTTATATTTACCTAATTTTATTAAAGATTTATTTTATATAAATATTTTTTATAAACATATAAATAAATATAACAAATGGAAAAATCCTTACCTCAGACAACCCCGGCGTGAACTCGAACCCGCAACCGCTCACACCATAGCCAGACGTCTTAACCATTGTCATACAATGACTAAAGAGGTCTAAGGTGTTTTTGGTCCAGCTTTACGCATACCAATAACGTTTATTCTAATCTAAACCTTTTTAACAACCGTTTAAACAATTTGGTAAATAGAAATGTGAAACTAATAAGAATAAAAATTACATAAATAATAACATACATAACATTACATAAATAAATAATAAATAAACAAAGGGTACACTTTCCGTGGCGTGGGCTCGAACCAGGTACTTTTGTTCGATTGTTTATTGACCGGACGTCTTTACTAGCTAGACCACCATCAAAATGTATAAAAAAAAGTCACTTTCTCTTAAAATATGGGTATTTCTTTCCTAAATTTAAGTAAGAATTTACCATTATTTCAAGAAAAAAAATCAAGAAAAATTCGCCATTAGTTTAAGAAAAAAATACGGTTCTTGCTCTTCTTCACTACAAAAAAAAATTAATTATGGCGAATTCCTTAAATTGTAGGCATTTTTTCTATAATCAAGAAAATATTTCTTAATTCAATGGCGTTTTGAAATCACGGGCGATTTTCTAATATTTATGGTGATTTTTTTTTTTAGTGTATCTAAGTAATATTAATATTTTAAGTTTACTTACTACTTGCCGCCACGGCATGTGCTCAATGTGAGTTTTTTTTTCAGCACGATCGTTCTTAAATGGTAAGCAAGAAATCGTGCTTAAATCATGGCTGTTTGTACTTGATTTTAGCACGGTGTTTTTCTCTTAGTGTATTTGTACTTTAAACAAGAATGATTTACTAATTTAAGTACGAATAATTCTTAAACCAAAATACATACATACATTGTAAGTTTAAGTTGGGTTTTAATTGTATGCTAGTTAGAGAAATAATAAATAATAAAATAATAATAATAATAATAATATTATACGTTTACTTACGACTTGCCCCTCACGGTCATTAACACTGTGTATTTTTTTCCTTATATACCGAGCACTTCCAGAATAAACAGTTGGGAATTTTTAGAGTTGACGGATATTTAAATCCAAAATGTGCTTAATGTAAAACCTTTTTCAGTACAAATGGTTCTAAAAACGGAAAGCATTAAATCTTTCTAAATCAAGACTGTTATTGCATTAAGCTTAAGTACACAAAATTCTAAAAACATATTTCCATTTTTATCTACTTACACAAAATACGTTTTTTAAAATAATAAAACAGCACAAAGCTTTAATGTTGGCTTAAGAATATGTCATTCTTCATTTGAGAATAACTTGTACTTGATCATTTAATAGATCGGAGTATATTTGTACAAATAATAATTAAAACCTTCATTCTAATGCAAGTTTTATAAAATTTTTTAAATTGTCAATATTTTTTATAATTCAGACTTGTTCAAGAAGAACTCGTACAAGAACATTTTATTCTTGATTTCGCTTGAAACGTCCTTGAAATGAAAAAATCAGCCCATTTTGTTCCTGTGGTATTTTCAAGCCCATTTATGCTTGAAACAAGGGGCATAACATGCCCACCGAACGCAAAAGCTATAGTTTACCGTTTTTTCTTTTAAGCCGATAGCAATTTTTTCTTTTGCGATATCTTTATTTTTGTGTATTACTTGTCATGATGAGACCATCACTGCAGATTTTCAATTCTGCTGCTTTATAAAGTAGTCGCACACGCACTTAGGTTCGCTTCGTCACTACGCGTACTGCCATCCACAGTGATCTATATTTTTGATCAAAAGTACTTGCGGAGTCGATACAGCAATGTCCAACCTTCTTCTGTCTTTCTGTATATCCGCATGAACGCTGAGAACTCGGAATCAATAAGGCTTGAAAGTTTGAACAAAGCATACCGATTCTAGGGCTCTTCAGCAGGATGCCACGAAAATGATTTTACCGATCAACAACTAAGTCACAATACGTGCCAATAACTAAGATACCCCTAGTACCCCTAGCACCCTCTAGGAGGCGACGTCCGGTAGATACCGCTGGAATTCTATTTTAAAAGTGGTCAGCAAACTAATCGGTGTTTCTTGTTTTAAGTTGATAGCGGGTATCTAGCAGTCGGTCCACTCGACTGCAGCATTATTTCTTGTTCTAATTCGATTATCGCAAAGATCGTTTTGACCCCACCAAATGTCGTAAGCCATCAAAAAACAAACGAAAATTAGATCGCATTGGAAAGCAACCAACTGCAATGGCAAACCGCATTCGTTCTCCTAATCCGTCATTCATCCTCCGATTTTTGGTGATGCCAGTAGGCTTTTATTGTTTACGAGTATTGTTTTCCTACTGTTTGCAGGACGAGGTCGCGACGTAGGCACTGAAAAACAAAAGCGCAGCGTCCCAGAAACCCTCGCACAGTCATTTGTTTTTTGTTCCGCCTGCCCTGTGGAAATGTCAGCCCAGTGAAACAATGGATCATACTCTACGTGAACTAAACACACACATGTATGCAAAAGTCATAATCATCACCGTCGTTTAAGCTTAAACGTCATTACAGGACGGGTAAGTGAACAATTGGCCTGGCCCGACTCAAGGCCCATGAATATTTCTGTGCGGTTATACATATTTTTTATTTGCATTTCCACCTCATTAACTTGCGCACACACATCTAACTATACAGATCAGTGACATTATGTGTTCTTGGTGGCTTTTCGGTCTTCATTATTGTATTTCCCTTTTGGCGCGAAAACATTGCGGTAATACGTTTCTGAGGGGCGTGCTCGTTTGCCCAACGTAAACTGCGCAGTTCAGTTCGTCTTTTTTTAAACTTCGTTTTCATTATATTAGTCTTTTGGTATATATTTATACCTAAACATGTAATAAATCGAATTTCTGATGATTTAATATTTACAGCTCTTTATTTTCATGTCGCTTGAAATCAGTTAGTCTTAGAGATAGAGCTAGGTTTGAAAAGAGTTTAGATTTATGATGGAAACATTAAGTATACATGCATGTTAGTGTCTTTTGACCTTAAAATAAAAATAATTTACTTTTCCAGAATGTATTAAAACAGTATTTTAAAACTAACCAATAAATGGTGTTTTGAAAAATTGGACCTTAAGACTTCGAAAGCAATAAACAAATACAAAAGTAATTTAAGAACAATGAGTATGAAAAACAAAAAACAATGCATTAAAAAAAATGTTTCTTAAAAAAGCGATTAAAAATAGTAACCTAGCCTAACAATATTTTTATAATTTATACAGACCGTCCCAACCCACAGACCTTTACGCTATTTTAATTATCTTAGAAAATCCGAATGAAACTTTTCTAATATACAAAAATTTCTTATTGTGGAACTTCCGTACATCGCGATAAAAAAAATTGATTTTTTATTGTCCGATTGTATTCTAATACTTTTAAGAATGTGTACAATAATTGTATTACTATTTCGATATATGTATGCAGTTACTCTAGAGATAAAACAAAAACACCTCTTAAGGAGGTAAAAATCTAGTGACGATCGCACCCTCAACAAACAAAAGTTCTGATATCAACTTTTGTAACGGAAATGTAGTGTACGACCTACAAAATAAATACACTTTCTAAATTTTTTCCATTCGGCACGTTGCAATTAAATATGATTTTTTAAAAGCTTTTTTTAGTTTTTTCGATACTTTTCGATTGAAGTATAAAAGTATATCATAAC